CGTCAGTCACTACCACGGACAACAGTCCTTCTCAGGACTACACTCACCCAGACGATCAGACTACACCTTCACACGAATTGTAGATTGTAACACGATGAAAGCCAGGGACTGGCCTTGGTTGGCCTGAGGCTCAGAACTCTTTTATTTACCTTCTTGAAGACTACCTTCAGTTGCCATGTAATATATGCGACATCAACGAATGCAGCACCTATTCAAGGAATATCACTAAAACATTGTGGAGAGTACAAGTTTGTCTAGATAAACCTCAGAAATTTAATGTTTGGCTTGGTTTAAAGTAGTTGAGACAGGTTGAATATTGTTTACTTGGTGTTTGTTTGTAACATACAGCTTTAATTTTCTGTTCTTTAGACACTTCAACAGACCTTTGGATATTATTGCTGAGTTAATACCTCAGGTAAGTGATGTTATTTCATCCTCATATTCTCCATGCTCAAAACTCAAATGGACAGACTACAAAGCAGAAAGAAATTATTTAAAGAAATTTGTTTTAATTTTTGTAGCCCTCTAACTTTTTCATGAAAGTACAGGCTAGTTTTGTCTTGGTCAAATAAACAGCAAATACGCATTGTTTTTTTTTTAGCTTTTAACAACCTGTGTTTGAGAGTGGTTTCTTCTAGTTATTGTTCAGTCAATTGCCCCAGCCAAAAGGATTGTACCATTGTGAATGAGTTTATCTGGAAATCATTTTCCCTTTTTTGAAATTTTTTTCTTCCAGGTCTTGTTTTTGTTTTGCATCTTTGGTTACCTGGTCATTTTGATTTTCTTCAAATGGATTGTTATTGATTGCAGTTCTGAACATGTGAGTTATGGGTATCAGCTGTGGTATCATATGTGAGTTGAGTTCGCTGTTTGATTCTTGTCCTTGCTCCAATGGCTTTCCTCCAGGTCCTCCAGCTTTCCTCTCCCCACAAAAAAACAACTTTCCAAAATTCAATTCAACCCGGAAACAGTGGACAGGAAGAGCCATCTAATGGAATGTCTGTTGCTAACTTCCCATTTGGCTCGGATATGTTGATATTCAGTGGCAATCTAGAGAAGTACCTTACCATTTCACTGTAATTTGTTTGTAGCTTGATGGAGCCCAGTCACTAAGCTTGGAAGTCTAGTGAGCTACTGGAGGATCACTTAATCTGTGGAGCTATGACTGCCAAATCTTTTTGGAAACAAATTGCACAATCCTTTCAACAGTTGTGGTTAAATGAGAAAAGCACTTTACCACCTTATACAATTATCTAAATATCCCCTATTTAACAATACTGCAAGTAATCATATTTGGGTTTTCCAGGTCTCTTTTGAAGTGTTACAAGCCGAGATTAAAGCTTATTGATTTAATTTTTATACCTTATTGTTCATGCATTGTTTGCTTGATTTTGCAGCAACCAAGTTTGCTGTTGGCACTTATCAACATGTTTCTTGAATTTGGAGTAGACATAAAAAAAGAAAATCTTCTCTATCATGGACAGGTGCTCAAAAGTGGTTATTTAATCAATTAATTCATTAATTAAATTTATTAACTTCTCCACGTATGGCAGGGGAACCGCAACTAGCCAGTTACTGTGGACCCTGTAATACCCACCCATCCCATCCCAGGGGAGGACATCCACCACACAGTAACCTCGTGCGTGGGAAATAAACCTCTCCTACACCTAACCCTGCAGGAGACAGGGCCTACAGTTTATTCATACTTATCCAAGAAGACTAGAATATCTATCCATTTCTTGATATTATAGAAAGGTAGCACATTCTCCTCAGTTATTTTAAGACCCTGAGTGTTGGTCCCGTCGGGGCTTGAACCTTCGACCTTCCGCACAACAGTCCACCGCTCTTACCAATTGAGCTAACCAGGAGGCAGTTACTACTTTATATAATGCATCTACAAGCTTGTAAAAGTTTTTGAAGTTTATGAAATACTTGAGAGTGTTTTGTAGGCTAGGGGGTGACCCTAAAAGCAGGAACAGTGGAATGGTGGAACAGCAGAATGGCTGAATGGTGGAAAATGATCCCAAATGCTAAAACATGGAACAGTGGAAAATTACTCCAAATCCTAAAGTGTGGAACAGCAGAAAATGACCCCAAATCTTAAAACACAGAATGACAGAAAATGACCCCAAATTCTAAAACACAGAATGGCAGAAAATGAACCCCAAATCCACCATTCTGTGTCTAAGGATTTGGGATCATTTTCCACCTTTCCATGTTTTAGGATTTGGGATCATTTTCTGCCATTCCACCTGTCCACTGTTCCAGCTTTTAGGGTCACCTGTTGGCTAGTGCTCTTTACTAACTGTTTTACCCTTACACTCCCATGGGTGACCAAGATAGAATTTCTCCTTACAACATTGAGACAATATCAAGCAGACAAGTGTTGAGAAGAAAGAAACATAAATCAGGGAATTATTATATTAGTTGATTCAATACCCAAATTCTTAGAACTAAAATCAGAAGAACTGTATAGTAGACGCCGAGGAGAATTATTACACGGGGATTGATAAGGTTAACATGTTTGATAATATAAATGAAAATATTTTACACTTCTGATTGGCTGAAAACAAGTGCATTTTTCATGTAACACAACTGCAAAGTTGAAACACGAGTGCATAACTACAAATAGGGCATGTAGGCTGTCAAAATGTTGTCTGTCTTGACTTTCTTTGGCGCTTTTTTCATGTTACTTAAAACAAGTTACGATATAATTTCTCATGCAATTTAGTGGAAATCACACTAATTGAAAAATATTTCTGCAAGACAACAAATTGCACTCAACTTATGATGTCATGCAATTCTGTTGTCCTTGAAAAATTTCTTGTGCTTATTAACACCAAATTGCACTCAAAACCATGTTACTACCTATAAAAATGGTGTTTCTCTGCTCTCGTGACAGGCTGCTGTTCAACCATTACTGGTTGTTATAGCTATGCTTTGTGTACCTTGGATGCTCTTAGTGAAGCCCCTATACCTCAGACATCAGCACAGGGTTAACAAAGAACAAGTAAGTCAAGTAATTCCTGGCTATCTGTGTTATTACCTCATTTGATTTTGAAGCAAGGGTTGCATATTGTTGTGTTCAGAGCAAAAGTCACATTGGATTTTGGTCCAGGATGTTTTAATGGGAGGCCCTTTAGCCTATGGGTTTCCTGTGATGTTTGGATGCTTAATTGTGTCAATCAGTTCAAAGCTTCAATGCCTTACTTCCCCCCCCCCCTCCGGAAACACCCCAGGCATTTGAACTTTTTTAACGTTTTAAAGATTCCTAACCCCCAGGGCAAAAAAAAAAGTATGTTCAAAGGCCCCACCCAATTTTTTCGTGAAAGGCAAACTCAGGGACTGTGACTTTCTATACATTGACCCAGCTTGAAAACTTAGACCTTGTAGACCTTTTCTTGTGAACTATTCGCTTGTGCAAGTCAACTTCATTTAAAGATAGAACACTTGGATTCCACTAAAAGGCTTTGATACTTGGTTTAAATTCCCCACCCCTGCCAGGTAAGGTTCAAATTCCCCAACCTCGGGCACAAGCAATGGCTAAATGCCCCTGCATGGGTTCCCTGGGGGAGGCAGGGGAGATATTGAAGCTTCGAATTAATCAACGTTATAGATCTACGTCAAAGCTGAATATACTGTGTGAAACATCTCCTTTTTATCAGGGTTACCAGAGGTTAAGGCCAGGTAGCCCAGGCACTCCTCGCCCGTCTGGAGAAATGATGGATTCTGTAGTGGACTCTGGTGAAGTGGTTTATCATGACGGCTCTTTACAGGAAGATCAATCACCTGACGACCATCGCGAAGAGGTAAGAGTGCTGTTAGTTACATTGGAACTGGATACTATCAGAAAAACAAATTCCGTTGAGTTTTCCTTTTTCTTTTCTGTTTTCTAGTTTGATTTTGGGGAGGTATTTGTACATCAGGCCATTCATACCATTGAATACTGCCTGGGTTGTATATCAAACACAGCCTCTTACTTGCGGTTGTGGGCCCTTAGTTTGGCACATGCAGGTGAGAAGAAGAAATCGGGTTTTTACCTTATAAGAGGCACGGTAAGGTGTTGACAGTTAGTCCCTACCGTAAGGATTTTGTTTAAAACTTGCTCCGTTTTTCAAACGATTTGGAGCGAGAGCATGAGGCGAAAACAGATTTTAACGATAGGAGATTAGGGCGAGAAAACATGTGCCGTGCAAAGTCAGTTATGTGTTTCTTTTCCTTCAACGCTCCTGGGACCGTATGAAAAAGCAAACAAGAAACAGAAAGAAATAATGTCATGTAAAACTCGCTTAAACTTTTCCTATCTTTTTGATAACACCAAGAGTACCACTATTAGGAAACCATGCTCTGATGAGCATCCTCAGTCTGTTTCAGTCCGGAGACGGGGTATTTCAGCGGAGCTCGCAGTGCGCACATCGTAGCTCCATAGTTATGAAATTTGTAACACAACTGCAGAAACTAAACCTTACTTGTATTTTAGAGCTGTCGGAGGTATTTTGGGACATGTCTCTTCGTCCAGCTTTCACGTTTACTGGTTGGCTGGGTTCTGTTACTGCCTTTGTTATATTTTCATTTTGGGCAGGTAAGTGTGAAGTGACATTTTATCGGACTTACTTAATAATCTTTCACTGCGTCGATCGTTACGCGCGAATAAGAAGACGTGTGTGTAGCGTAGGCTATCTTAACCCTCTAACTTCCAGAAGTGATTAACATGTGATTTCTCCTTATGATATTTATACATTATTCAGCAAAGAAGTGACGAGAATACTCAAACTTATCAGGTAGAAGTTGTGTTGATCTAAAACCAACTTCTTCAAACTAACTTACAAGGAAATATGTTGCAGCTAGAGGGGAGATTTGACAACCAGATATTTGGCGTGAAAGGGTTAGACCAAGAAGGGCTAGTTTCCTCTGAGAGATCATGGGTTGTTTAGATTTAGACAAACTTATCACATTTCACTTTTTATATTTAGTCGAAACCGTTGTTATCTTGTTGGTCATGGAGGGTCTGTCAGCCTTCTTGCATTCGCTTCGTCTGCATTGGTAAGTTCTCTTCGCACTCTCTTACGCGTTCCTGCTTTCCCACACTATCTTTTCATTTCTTGCTTGTTTCCATAAGCAGAGTTGTTAATGTTTGATTCCTACTCAAAGTAGTTTCAACATGGTTACCATAAGTTAGGATGCAAACACCACAAAGGGGCGGAAACTTCAAGATAACCAAGCAGACAGTTTGGCGCACGATACTTGCCTTTTAAAATTAAGGCATAGATTTCTGACTCGAACTCAGTGTCCTCAGCATGAGAGTAGCATAATCTTATACGTACGTATTTTCTCCTTTAAAGGGTCGAGTTCCAGAACAAGTTTTATCAAGGAACAGGATGTAAATTTGAACCCTTCTCCTTCAAGTCGATTTTAAGTGGTCAGCTCGAGGAGTAGCTCTGTCGTTCGGCAACCGTGTACAGTTTTAAAGTTTGACACATTCCCGTCCATATCTCTTGAGAAGCTTTCAATGAGGGCGCAATGTATCAGAGGGAGCTTTCCCGTACTTTCTTTGGTCGTGACTCAAATGGACACTCCAAAATCAGGTTTCCGAGTAAAGACTGGAATTGAATAAATTATTTACCGAATTATTTACTGAGAAACAATTTGCTCAGTTCCAATCCTTACTCGGAAACCTGAGCATCCTTTTTAGGCACGACCTACTTCCTTTACGTCTTTCTCAGCGTACATTGTTATCTGTCATTTCCCCAGTCTTCCTCTTGGTTTAACAAAAAAAATAAATGGAGATTTGGAACGAGGCAGAGTTTGAGATACAATGAATATATGAAGTTCATATATTCATTGTATCTCATTTATCACTTTCACGGGTTTATTACGAATCAACTTAACGGCCTGCTCCCAGTTGGCTTGTTAGCTCAATTGGTAGAGCGCTGCACTAGTATCGCAGAGGTCAGTGGTTCGAGTCCCGTACAGGCCTGATTTTTTTCAGGTCTGATTTTCGCTATTGCTTAAATAGCGCTATCTACTGCGAGGATCGTGCATCATACGAAGCAGAGTTTATAATAAATTTCCTAGAGTAGTTATTTATAGAAAAACTTAACGATTTTAAATACTCAAGATTATGTTGTCACGAATATACTTGAAAGTTTTATTTTATATATTTTTTTGTAAATTGAGTTTTAGTAGTTAGGTTAAAAAATATTTAACGAAAATTGCGGTTTTTGCTGAAAGTGATGAGTTAAACTGATACCTTATTTACGGTGGACATTACTCTAAAAAAGTATTTATGGCTAGTCTTTAGATAGCAATGTACGTGAGATGGGTACAGTTTGGCCTAAAATGATGTGGCAATCGTTTCATTCCGGTACACGTGACGTTTCCCCAAGGAATCGCGCAAGTTTGAATTTCCGTTTGCACTAGCATTTTATAGTTCTTAGTCCAAAACAGCTCTGTAACGTGCGCGTTGTGCCCTTTTGTGCGTGGGCGATGAATGTGAATCTTGTGAAATTATAACAGCTAACGAACGCTATAAATGATAATTAGTCTCGAAAATGTGTGAATCCTTTTTTTTTTTTTTTTACCCTGGTAGAGTAACTATCAAAATTAACACCTGAATAGTTCCGTAACTTATTTCTCTAGAAGTAAATTGCGATCAATATGAGTAAACTTGTCGTTCAATTTTTTTAGTTGTCTGTATCTTGGTTTGTTTTATGGTGATGTTTTCATACAACGAGTTAAGCGCGAAATTAATTTTAGCGATTGGTTTGTTCGTACGGTTCTTTGGTGTTCCGGCTTGGAGATGACAGCAACCTAACATACAGGAGAAAAAAATATGATTGTCCGAATGCAAAAAAAAGTTTCCCTTAAAAAATTAAGGGTCTTTAATCCAAGTTATTTCGTCTTTTTTCTCAAATCATCCAGTTTGTAACACTGAAAAGGGGGAATCCTCTCGCTTTGGGCGATAGGGGTTAAGCCATTTCCTCTGAAAACGGGAATCGACTTCGACCTTTATTATCTTAAATCGGCAATGAATTTCATAGCAACCTTGTGAAGGTTCAATAATTAATTGTCTCTTTAACAGCGAATGAAAACTAGAGAAAAATAAGAAATCATTGTAAATATTCCGAGTGAGGTTTACCAATTTTGGACGCCGGCCTTAATGCAATGCTGGTTACACTACGAAATTAGTTACAACTCCAGAAGCCATCTCAAAACGGGAATGGTTTATAGAGGCCAGGGGTCTGGAAACGAGTGTGGAACTCGCCATGCCCTGTTGCCCTTGACTCACTGGCGCTGGTGGAAAGCATATGAACTACCTAAATCCCGGTTTGTTGCTTCCAGAAGTTCTCTAAACAAGTATCCAACACTGTAGAATAATTTGACCGTTTTCACCTCGGAAAAGTCTTCGGAAGTTATTGCAAGCTGCCGAGGATTGATATGAATTATGGGACACAGCCATTCACGTGATCAGTATCGGAAGGCGGTGACATCATACTGTAACTTTTTGTAACATTCTGGCTTATTTGGACTTACTAACTCAAAAAATACATATCCTTTCTTGCCAAGATGTCTTCCCTCTTCAGATCAGAGGAAATGACACTGGCTCAACTTTTTCTTCAAGCCGAGGCGGCTTATTCTTGTGTCAGTGAACTAGGAGAGCTGGTAAGTCGAACCACCAAACTTGCCGCCATGTTTGTTCCTTTCGCTCCCTTACGGTTACCAGTATATTTAAGAGCAAGGTTCATCGACTTTTTGTCTCAGATGCAGTATAGTTAGTTTGTTACCTCACACTCACGGTATTTTTTGGTTTCCATCCTTTTTTTCTTAGGGCCTTGTGCAGTTCCGAGATGTAAGTACCACGAAGATACATTGATCTTAAAATAGCCAGTGTTAGACATGAAATATTTTCTGTTTGTGTACTTCTTGTAGTAGTATACATACATACATACATAAAATTTATTTCCATTCGGATTTATAAATAGCACTAGATGTGCTAGTATCTCCTAACATATAACTGCAAAACAAATGACAATAAGTTTAAAATCGAAAGACTCTTGTAAAACCTCATATAAAAATGCTATTAATTATATATACTAATCCCCACTGATATATAACTCCTAATGGCACGTTTAAAAGCTGCTAGAGTGTCTGACATTCTTAATTCATCTGATAAGCTATTCCATACAGAGGCAGCAAGATACCTGAAAGAGTGAAGTCCAAAAGTTGAGGTCTTCACCGCTGGTATCTGTAATTTCCTTTTACCCCTTAAATCATATGCACTTTGACTGTGCTCTTTGAGAAGTGATGTGATATACCCAGGAGCCATGTTGTAAAGGCCTTTGTAAACCATAGTTAATAACAGTGATACCCATAGCCAAAATATTGAATTTTGTGAATATTCAGAGATGCTTTGGCCACTGCGGACAGATCTTCGAATCCTCACTTTCCCTTCTCAGAATAGACTAGCTTACTTAAAATTTGTGTTTGCAAGGATTTCATAAATCTCATACGATGACCTACGAAAGCTGGTTGTTAAAATGATAAAATGAATCCTGTATTTGTTTAATGGTGTGTTAAATGTTTGGAAAGAGTACCATAGAACTCCATACATTAATTATGCATTCCACTTCTTTGTCTTTCACGACAAAACTTTAAAAACAAAGTCTACTAGTCTGAATACATAATTAATGTTGGGGTTATATGATACTCTTGCCAAATGTTCTCATCATCCATCAGTTAAATCCAGATGTGAATGCCTTTCAACGAAAATTCGTCAATGAAGTCAGACGCTGCGAGGAGATGGAAAGGAAACTTCGTAAGTGAAACGCTGTTATTTAAAGCAAAGACCAGAAGAATTTTAATTTTTCCTGTACTTGTATCAATACAAGTTTGTAATGATTAGTTCTTGAATGGATCTTTGGTATTTGGAAGCAGTTCCTGAACCCCTTTCACTCCCAAGATACAATTAGTAATTCTCCTTATTGTCTGCCATAGAATTCTTATGAGGCCAGATCAGAGAATTTGGTATTAGATCAACTAATAATCCCCTAATTGATATTTTTCTTTATTCTCCTTTCTTGTCTGCTTGGTATTGTATTGATATTGTAAGGAGAAATTATGTCTTGGTCACTTGTGGGAGTTCAAGGGTAAACCCTTTCACTCCTGCAATGCTATCTCATTCGTAATTCTTGTTACTGCCTGCCATTCAATTCTCATAATGTTCATTGAGAGAATTTGGTATTTGATCAACTAATAATCCCTTCTACATCTATATCTTCATTAAAATACATCAGGAAAGTTGTTAGACATCACACCAACATTAAAAATACAAAAAGGATAAAATAATACTCGGAAATCTTAGTTTTAAAAGTCTCTACAGAGATGCTTTCAACAAAATTTTTCGGAAGTTTGTTTTCCATGTCCTGAGGGTGTGTAATAATTGATATTTTCCTTTTTTATCTGATTGCTTGTCTGCTTGATGTTGTACTCGTATTGTTGGGAGAAATTCTCCCTGGTCGCTCGTGGAAGTGAAATGCACAAGACTTTGCAATAGAAACTAACCTTTCACAGTACTTTTTTTTACCGATAAGAGTGTTAATGAACAGTTTGGTTTGTTTCATCAGGATTTCTAAACAAGGAAATTGAAAAGGCTGATATCCAAGTTTCAGACACTGGAGAAAATCCAGAAGCCCCACAACCTCGAGAAATGATTGATCTTGAGGTAAGTGAAGAGGATATTGAATTGCCAAGTATAACTCTTCAAAGTCATATTAACTCTACACTCTAGCATCAGTACACATATTCTCTACACTGTTCCCTATACACTTCCAATGGTGCTGACAAGGAGAATTTGTCTAACAATCTAGAGCTTCTGAGTCTCGAGTTGATGATCATTTCCTCTATTCTCATGTCCTGAATGAGTGATTTGGGGGTGATGGTGTAAGGAGAAATTAGATGCTAGTCACTCTTAGGAGTTAAGAGGGTGAATATAGAAACATAAATTTAGTGAAGAGTACTGATCATAGTTCATCCATTTTTTTTGAAGGAACCTTTGTCTGATGTAATTATTGAATTTTTTAGGCCCAGTTTGAGCAGTTGGAAAATGAAATGAAAGATAGCAATGCAAATTATGAAGCACTCATGAAGAGCTTTCTGGAGCTGACAGAACTCAAACACATCCTTCGCAAGACGCAGACCTTCTTTGAAGAGGTGTGTTAAGCTGGCGCATTTATGTATTGATTGTATGTGTTCAAATCATGCAAGTGTGCATTCAACTATAGCTAATCAGTGTTAAGTGGACCAGGTTAAAAACTGAGCATGTTTGAAACATCTGCAGGAAATATTTGATATGGGTGGTCATTTCCTGTTACTAAGATTCTAAAGTGGCTTACGCTATCCACCATTAAATAACTTTCCAATAATTGAACAGTTTCAGCGTGAAGCAATAATTCAGTTCTATGTAGAGCCATGGTTCCTACAATCTTGAAAAGGTCTTGAATTTTAACGGTCATCTTGAAAAGTCCTTGAATTTGGTTAAGTCCTTGAAAAGTACTTGATTTCTGTAGTAGGTCATGAGAAGTCCTTGAAATTTAGCAACTTCTGTGCGCCTTAAGTATCGCTTTTCTGATAAATTAAACGATTTTGCTATAGAAAATTTGTCCACTAGTAACTACCAAAAAGCAAAAATAGTCAGTATAAAACGGGAGTGATACATGAAGCAAAGTTGGATCTGTGCCTCAATTGCATGCGCAAGGCCTCCGATGTGGGGTAGTCTGCCATGTGCTTTTGTTTTAAGGGGCAAGGTAAACATGTAGTGGTTTGGCTATGTTTTGGTTGATGAATTTTTCATTTCCCTTTGTTTTCAATTTAATTGAGCGATGGGCAAATGTGTATTAAATCGTAAATGGTTTAGATTAATGAATGAAACTTAGTCCTTGAAAACCAATTTTTGTCCTTGAAAAGTCCTTGAAAAGTCCTTGAAAAGTTCTTGAATTTTGTTTGTCTGAAGTTGTACAAACCATGTAGAGCTGTGATTCATCTGAGAACTAAGGCAAGCTTACCTGGACAAAGTTAATATACCAAGCTTGGCATTGTGAAGAGTAAATTATTGTCTGGTGAAAGCAAAATTTTAGAAATTATTACCATCTTTCATGTCGTCACCCTGTATAGAAGTTTATTTTTCTTTTATTAACTATATAACCAAGACTAACTCCAAGTTGATGCTTACACAGGTTGCAGAATTAGGATATAAACGTGTATACAAACTTTTTTTGTTTCTTTGTATGCTAGAAAGAGCAAAAGGTGTTTCATTCTGTTAGTACTTCTCTTTTTTAATCTATAATAAGCATTTAGACTAGGCTAATGGATATAGAATTTTCTCCTACACAAAATATACTAATCAGCATTATAATTAGTATGATAATTTTTTTACTTGTGTAACCGTTAGTGATTTAAAGATAAAAACAAACACGAGACCTTTTTGCATGGACATGAAAGTGTTGACAAATAGATTTGTGTGGCTGTAAAGTGCACCTAAGGGTATATAGCATTAGAACATAGTATTGATGATTTTGATTAGGCCGAACTCCATGTGCATAATCAACAACAGATCCATGAACCGCAGGGCACTGATGATATGCAAGCTCTCCTTGGAGAGGAGCCAAGAGGAGGTGGTGCCGCTGCTACAGCAACTCAGTTGGGGTATGTTAGTAAGTTGATTTTCATGACTGACTCCAAAAGCAGCCAGGGGGAATGAAGTCGTGTGTTTTGTCTATATTGTAGTCAGTAGCTCTCTCCTTGATTTTGTCTAGTGAAATAGTTTTTCAGTAACTGATAAAGCTTTATCACTTATAATTATGTATTTTAAATAAAACATTGATTGACTATCAATGAGATTATATGTTGCTAACAAAACATGGCCCAGTTAGATGGCCCAGTCACCTTCAACTTTGTCTCTTTTTTTTTACTCACTACTCATTGCACATTTGATCCATCACTTGTCTAGTTTTGTAACAGGAGTTATAGCACGAGAACGAGTACCTTCCTTTGAACGTCTTCTGTGGCGTGCCTGCCGGGGAAATGTGTTCTTCAAACAGGCAGAAATAGAGACTCCTCTGGAAGATCCAAGCACTGGAGACCAAGTCAACAAGTGTGTCTTCATTATATTCTTTCAAGGAGACCAGCTCAAAAGCAGGGTGAAGAAGATTTGTGAGGGGTGAGAAAATTTTTGTTTTTTTTTTGGCTTATACAGTGTAATCTTTCAGGTGCGTGTGTTGATAGATGAGTATGGTTTCTTTATTATACTCTCATACAGAGTTGTTTGAGTCCTAGTGAGCCCTAATCTTGAGTTAATTATATCATACTGTAGAATCAAGATCTTATTTCAGACCATCTGGTAGGGTGCAAAAAAAAAAAATGGAATACTATGCAGAAATTTTGGGCAATATTATGCGGAAGGAGGTGACGATTATGCAAAAAAGATGCTAGACTATGCGGAAATTTTTAAAACTTTATAGACCACTTTCATAAATGGCTGTCGGCTTAATATTCTTTTGTTTAAATTTAAATTAGTCCTTCGGGCCTCACTTTGAGATAATGTATTCTTTTGAATTTTGTACTGGAGAACGAGGCCAGAAGGGCTAAATTAAATTTAAACAAAAGAATATTAATCCGGCCGCCATTTATGAAAGTGGTCTATAAAGTTGTTCCTTTGGCTTTTTCCAATGTATAAAATACATGTTAACGTCTTGCTGAGAATTTTAGTCCTTTATGACATATTTGACCTTTTGCTGCCATTCATGGACAGGTATGTCTTCGTTGAACACAGTTTTTTCATAATTTTCATTGTCGAGTTTGTCCGAAGCTTAGTAACCAGCCATTAAAATCGGATGAGGAAAACTGGACATCTGAAGTCGAAAATCAGTATTAAAACAAAAGTAGAACCCAGGCCCATCACTGGAAGATGCATGAAACGCCTGGCAGTTTAAAATTGTTTATGAAAGAAAGGCATGTTTTTGTCACTGTTTTGGGTGAATAACTTCTTCAAAATGACCAATCTTTTCGCTATTTTTACTTCTGAGGATGGTAAGCAGTTGCTTTCTCGCTTATTTGTAGAAATTTTCTAGTTTTATGCAGAAAAAATGCCCCAAGGATGCAGAGGATGTGGAAGTAGGCAAATTATGCAGATCTGCACCACCGCATCCTGTCAGATGCACTGTTATTTGGTGATTTGTATCCACTGCCACTTGGTTATTGGTTCAGCTAAAGCCTTTGACTTACTAAGGTTAATCAATGATAACCCAAATCTTCACCTTTTTCCTTTCAGATTCCGTGCCTCACTTTATCCTTGTCCAGATACTGCTGCTGAGAGGCGAGAAATGGCCATTGGAGTGAACACAAGAATTGAAGATCTGCAAACAGTGAGTAACAAATGCTAGCAGTGTTTGTCCAATATGCTGAAACTCAATCAAGGGATGTGTTATTGATGTCAGGCTTCACTGAAAGGTGATTTTAGCTAACTGTTGTGTGGTTTTTCTCACATTTTACAGGTACTGAATGAAACGCGTGACCATCGCCATCGATTGTTGATGACTGTAGCAAAGAACATAAACCACTGGTTTATCAAGGTAATCACAATTATAACTGCATAAGGTTTCAACCCTCAGCACCTTAGCAGGAGCATGTATATTCTCCAGACTGTTCTTTAAACATTTTCTCAAGGTGCTGACAAGGAGGATGTATTTCACAATCCAGAGCTTCTTTAGTTAATGATCATTTTCTTTCTTCTCATGACCTCAATGTGTGATTCAGGGGTGACATTGTAAGGAGATATTAGATGATAATAATTCTTAAGGGTCAAAGGGCTGACTCCCAATGATAGGCCAAAAAGTGTGGGTAGTCTTGAGTTAACCAAACTAATGACCAACAGAAACCCCTTATGATTTTATATGTTTGCTGTGATTTTAGGGAGGACAGCTTTTGAATGTGGTACTTATGCCGGTCCCAAGTGGGACCAACACTTGAGGTCTTAAAATAATTGAGAAGAATTTGCTACCTTTCTATAACATCAAGAAATGGTTACATATTCTAGTCTTCTCAGATAGGGACAAATAAATGGAGGTCCTGTCTCCTGCAGGGTTGGGGTAGGAGATGTTAATTTCCCACATACGAGGTTACTGTGTGGTGGATGTCCTCCCTGGGGTGGGATGGTGGATACAAAGGGGTTAGGTGTCAATTTGGATGAAAGTCCTGTTCCTTTCTCCTGCCATTCCCGTGGCAAATGAATTAAATTCTAAATTAAATTCTAAATTCTAAGTGGGTATTGTCAGAACCAAACATCTTATTAGAAATTTAGATTATTATTTTGTGATTTGATTTTCCATTGTTAGGTAAAAAAGATCAAGGCAATTTATCACACAATGAACATGTTCAACCTGGATGTCACTCAGAAATGTCTTATTGCTGAGTGTTGGTGTCCAGTAAGTGACTTGGATAAAATTCAGCAAGCATTGCGGCGAGGTACTGAACGCAGTGGTGCTGCTATACCATCTATTCTGAATCGCATGGCCACTCGCCAGGAGCCTCCAACTTTCAACAGGACCAACAAGTTTACCCAGGGGTTTCAAGCCATTGTAGATGCCTATGGAGTAGCAAACTATCAGGAAGTTAATCCAGGTACTATAAGAAAAATGTAATGATGTGATCAATGTTTCTTTTTATTGTGATGTAAATATGGTAATTTAATTTTATTAAAAGAGGTAGTTCTCACATTGAGATGTATTTCTGTTTTATTTTGCCAGCCTTGTTTACAGTCATTACATTTCCATTCCTGTTTGCGGTCATGTTTGGAGACTGTGGTCATGGTTTGATCATGTTCCTGTTTGCTCTCTGGCTGGTTGTGAATGAAAAGAAACTAGCTGCCTACAAAGAAGGAGGAGAGGTAGATTTGATTTCAGTTAAAGATAACATTTTAGAATTTTGTGAGATGCTATGTTATTAAATAAACTTTGTGGTGTACATAGAATGGTTAGGGTGCTGGACTGTGGGTCAAGTGGTCCAGGTTGAAGATTTGGCGGGGTGATTGTGTTGTGATGGTGGTCACCTTACTCTCTCAGTACTTTCCTCCACGAGGGAACTGTTAGTAAAGCCAGATAAAATGTTGGGCTGGGTAACCTGGAATGGACTAGCATCCCATCTAGAAAGAGTAGCTGTACTTCTATTTGCCTTCTTGCACAGAAACCATAATAATGTCTAGCTGCATGGACTGCCCAACTCCAGGGCTGACTTAAGCTTTGCTTAACCCTTGAGCTCCCATGAGCGACCAAGACAGAGTTTCTCCTTGCATTATCAATACAATATCAAACGGACAAGTGATGAGTACAAAGGAAAAGGTGGATCCAATACCAAATTTTCCCAAGTGATATGATACAAATTATAGGACTGACATGTCTGTTTAGTCTGTTTACGAGCCTAGTGGCCCATTAGGCCGGTGCTTAACTCTGGTTTCTGTAGCATGAAGCGACTAGGAGTATTTCTACTCCCCCTGGATGGGATACCAGTCTATCGCAGGGTTACCCCCAGCATTAAATTGCTGGTACCCATTTATACACCTGGGTGAAGAGAGGCACTGTGAGAGTAAGGTGTCTTACCTAAGAACACAACGCAATGTCCCGGCTGGGGCTCAAACCCGTACCACTCAATCCAGAGTCGAGTGCACTAACCACAGGGCCACTGCGCCTCCACATTGGACTGACATGAGAGAGACTTAATTACTCATAAGAGATTAGGATTTAAAACATAGCTAGCAGAGCTGCGTAATCAAATTCAGTATACGTAAGCATGCTCAAAATCCTGATAGTGCACACTGATAGCATGAGCAAATTGCTTCCCCAGAATTTTTTTTTTCTCGCGAGCAGCTATCGTTAGGGCAGGGAAAAATAATATATTTCTCCACAATAATGGATACAAACAGGGACTCAGCCTACTAGTCCCAAAACGAAGACAACTTTTCAACCTTTTCCCTCGGGCTAGAGTCCTTAAATGAGGCAGAAAAAGAGAAAAACGACTCGGCATCAGCGCCGTCATGATTCGCTTCAGTTGATTTTGTTGTCCATTTTTTGCATTGGATTTGATGCAGAATTCCACCGGCTATGTTCTAAAACAATTGGTTCATGCTTTTAGCAGTGCACTATTAAGTTATGGAGCACGTGGGAAGTTTGGAGAGCACTCAAGAAGCTAGAGTTGCCCTTGGCTATTGCCTCGGGCAACTCTTGTGCTTCTTTCGTGCTCTCCAAACTTCCCGCGTGCTCCATAACTCCATAGTGATGCTAAAGCAGGAACCAATTGTTAATGAATGTAGGTAGTTTTTGGAAGGGGACTGTCTGAGGATGTCAAAGGAAACTTTCAGCAGCAGAAGTTTTTATCATTTGTTTGCTATTAAGCAATTGAAAAAGAGCAAATTTGTGCTTTCAAGGAAAAGTCACAGAATGTTCCCGGACAAAATTTGATGCAGAACCAAGTTAGTTCACAGATCTAGAATTTCATGTCATAAATTGTAGTTGTTTTTTGTCTTCAGATGTTTGATACAATTTTTGAGGGACGCTACATCATCATGCTTATGGGACTGTTTGCAGTCTACACTGGTCTTATTTACAATGACTGTTTTTCCAAGTCCTTCAACATCTTTGGTACAGCCTGGGATCTAAGTGAAGACTGGAATCCCATCAAGTGCGTACGGAGTGTTTTTTATCAACCCTAAAAATACAACTCATGCATCATTAAATTAATGAGTGTCCCTTCTTGCAACTATAATCATCTTCTATTTTACAGTAAAAAACCTGGGAATAAGCTGCATCCACAGATAGGCTGTACCCTGAATTTAGTAGCCCAAATTTTGGAAAAAAGGGTTTTTGAAAGAAATCGAAAGAAATCCAGAGTCCAGTCTTGAGAAGTCTTCTTCATCCACTGTTCATCAAATATACACTCACTATTAACATTGCAATGGAAAATACTTGAGTCTTAACCACAATTTTAGCAATTGAATATAATGAACATCGTTTCTACCAACTTTGACATAAAATTATGATTACTCTTTTTCTGGCATTTGTTGAGAGGAGTTTCTTCATTCTCGCAACAAGAATGTGACCGGAACATTCGAAGCTTGTATCCAGGCATTAGATTGGATGCGTCAGCATTCACGACACTTTTTTCAAATGTTCCCACAGACAAGCTGCACCCCCAATTTCTAGTGACAATATTTGGAAAAAAAGTGTGGCTTATCCATGGGCTTTTACAGTAGTTTGATTTTGTACTCTGTCTTTTTTGTATATGTCTGATATCCCTTTGTTTCTCTAGCAAAAAAGCTTTAGATGGTTATGCGGAAAACAAAGAGGTTATAGTTGATCCAGAGCACACATACCGTGGGGTGCCTTACTTCTTTGGTATTGACCCAGTAAGTATTGTCTTCATGTGTTGTTTATGCTGTTTTCAGGGCTTGACACTAACTTTTCAACTTACTAGCCAATTGGCTAGTGACATCTTAGATGTTTTTAGATGTTACGACAATTTCACTTTGTTTGCTTGCCAAACTGGCTAGTGGAAATTGAAAACCACTAGCCAAAACTGAATTTCTACTAGTCTGTGGCTAGTGGGCTACCATTAGTGTCGAGCCCTGTGTGTGATAAGTTGTGGCTAGTGGGCTACCATTAGTGTTGAGCCCTGTGTTTTTGCAATTTTATCATTGTTAGCTCCACATCTTTCTAGTGGTTGTCAGCATGAACATGTATGATGGGGCACACTAACTTTTCAACTTACTAGCCAAGTGGCTAGTGGCAACTTAGATGTCACGACAATTCCAGTATGTTTACTAGCCAAAGTGGTTAGTGGAAATTGAAAACCACGAGCCAAAACTAAATTTCTACAAGTCTGTGGCCAGTTGGTTACTGTAAGTGTCAAGCCCTGTATGATAATGGAACTAGGAAAATCACTACAACCTTTAACAAGCTGATCAAGGAAATTTATACACGAGTTATTTTGGGTCCAGTGGTCGTCAAAAATTCTTGAGACAGTTATTAGAAAATGAAAAAAATTTTCAAGCCATCCTTCGTGGGATCTTGTTGTAAATAGGGGGATGAGTTCTTCAAACACAATTTGCCTCTATATCCTTGGTCACCTGAGTATTAATTTTAGCCTTGAGAATTTCTAGAAACAAATGCCAGCCATACTGCTCACTCCATACCAGGGTGTGTAATCAGAGTGTTTGTAGCTTTGTCATGTAGCTTGAATCATCATGTAGCTTGAAATACTGTAATAAAATTCAACATTGTTTGATAAAGGAAACGGAAACTGAAGAAGAAGAGCACAATTGGATTTATTTCAGTTTATAATTTAAATCTTGAAACCTCTAGGGTAGTTGTGACTGTTCGACTAAGATTAAGGCATGAATTGTGTTCATTGAAATACACAGGCCATAGCAGGTTGATCTTGTGAACTAGCAGTTTGTAATTGGTTATTCATTTGTTTATTTGATCATTAATGTGATGTCCTTAATTTAATTTTCAGATCTGGCAAATAGCCACTAACAAACTGACTTTCACCAATTCATTTAAAATGAAGCTGTCCATCGTGTTTGGTGTGACACATATGATGTTTGGTGTTTGCCTGAGTTTCTTCAATCATGGGTAAACACTGAAATGATTGTAATCCTTTTGCCCCTAAGAGTGACTAGCGTGCAGTTTCCCCATATACTGTCATCTCCAAATCACACATTTAGGTCATGAGAATTAAGGAAATAATCAGCAAGGAAAGAGGGTTTGGATTATTAAACAAATCCTGTTTGTCAGCACCTTAGGAAATGTATAGAGAGCAGTACAGTACGGAGATTATTCACACTTGTGTTCAGGGTTGTCCCTGAGTGCTGGCTGCTGGCAAAATCGGCTGGATAAAAAAATGACAACCACCAGCTGCTTTTTTGGCTAGTTATTGCTTGGTAAAGCACAACAGGCACTTTTGAGGTTTCACACTTACAATTGTTCACCTCCTTTGAGCCTCCTCACCTGGAATTTCAGCCAGCAGCGTAATTTTTGGGCGGTAACCCTGGATGTTAGGGTGTAAAGGTTACTGTAATTAAGTTGTTAAACACAAAATACAGTTGTAGTACTCAGGTGTGCTGCAACACTTAACATGTCTTGACTGTTTGTTAACTTCTTTTTATTTGTCTCTGCAGGCACTTCAACAAACCTCTGAATATCTACACAGAGTTTATACCTCAGGTTGATTGTTTTGTCTGAGTAACATTAGTAAGAGTCACTTAGAATTAGTAAGAATAACTTTTTTGTTTCTAGCAAAGTAATATCTTAGTATGTTTTCAGTTGAAGCATGCAACAATCATTCTATGGTGCTTACAAACTACTGCAACATACTGCACTCTTTGTCATTGATGAATGAGATTATATTGGTTGATGGCTTGAAAGCCAACATTTTGTTCCTAAGGCAGCATTTTAAGAAAAAAAAATTAAACCAATCAGTTGAAAAACACAAAACCAGGTGTTACAGGGTGACGTACATTTTATGATGTTTTTAGGTGTTTTTATTGTTTTAACTCAAAAGTTTTCATCGGCTCCTGGTGGTACAATTTTTTTTTTAACACTGCAATTTTTGTGGTTTTCATCTTAAATTTGATTGAAATGTAAGTATGCCCTTAAATACTTTTAGAAGTGTTTTTCATGTTGTGATCCACATAATTTTTATATTTTCCGATGTTCCTCTTTCTAGGTTCTATTTTTGTTTTGCATCTTTGGTTACCTGGTCATTTTGATCTTCTACAAGTGGATTGCCATCAGTGTTCAATCTAAGAGTGTAAGTGTTTTAAAATTCTCAGAGCTTAATCAGTGAACTGAACTTACTATAAGAGTGTTCATAGATGTTTTTCTGCTTACTTCTTTCTTACTTCTGTTTGGGAAGAAGTTTTGAGATACACATGTATGTGTTAGATTTCCAGCCTCTAAGTTATTGATTGCTAAAGAGGTGTTTGTTGGGATTGAAGAGCAGGAAATTTAACAGAGAGGCTTTCAGTGCAATATTCTCTTTTCAGGCAGTAGCTGGTGAAAATTATTGCCTGTAGTACTTGCTTTAACTGCCTAGAATTGCTTTTATATCTTCAAAATTTAACATGTAAAAGGATTGCTCAACCAGTTTGAAAATTTCTCTTGCCTGTCTTGCTTAAAACAAGAGAACTGTGCCAGGGTTAAAAAAAACTGTAATGAGGAATGTACTTAAGGGTAAAATCCTGTTAACTTAAAATGTCAGAGGAAATGGAGTTTAAGTTTGCCAATTGCAAATGACGGAATGTTCTTTGAGGTAAATGGTTTTAAGGTTGAATTAGCAGAAAGTGTGAGGTACCCATGTTCTACTATAGATGGAAGCTAGGCTGGAGTGGTATTGTAGCTGAATTTAAAAACAGGACATGATTGAAATGAGTTACATTTGAATTCTTTTTAAACAATCTAAATGAGGGATCCAGTATGGCTTACAGTGATTTTTGTTTGCTTGGTTTTTCTATTTCTCTTAGTATCCAAGTTTGCTGTTGGCACTCATCAACATGTTTCTTAAATTTGGAGGTTCTATCCACGATTCTGAGCTCCTCTTCCCGGGACAGGTATGACTTTAAGCCAGACAAGGAAAGAGATAATATTTGTCAACCACCCCTTGTGATTTAGGATAGGTGTTTGTAGGGCATAGAAGATTGGAGAAGTTTGTATAAATCTACATTGTACCAGTGTTCCCTCACAAACACTGCATTCTGATTGGCACATTATCTATTCTGTGATGTAAAGCATGTACATGTAGGATGTGGCATTGTTTGATGAAAAAAAAAGGGTCTGTTTTGTTTTTAAGTTTTGATGGAGCAGTAGAATTATACTAAAAGAATGAGATAATGGGCTCTGGATTATAATGCATGTTATTAAAAACTGGATCATTGGATAATGCAATTCAAGACTTTTTATTGGCTCAGCCATTATGGTATGTGAGCCAATATACAGTAATCTAATATCTATGCATTGTAACATCCAGTTTCTTCTTACAAAGTAAAGTCCAGAAGATTTGTCTAATATCTGGGGGGTGTTTTATTTTAATAAAAACAATTATTATAAACTTGATCATTGGATAATGCAATTCAAGGCTTTTTATTGGCTTAGCCATTATGGTATATGAGCCAATATACCATAATCTACAAATATGGTAAGCATATGCATCAGCTTAAAATTAAAAGAAGCTAAAAAATTTAATAAAATCTAATTTAATTTAATGTTTTTAATAAAACAATTATTCCACTCGCGCTTGTTGGATATGAGATGATTATAGCCAACTCGGCGCTAAGCGCCTCGGCTATCTATCATCTCATATCCAACGCGCGCTTGTGGAATAATTGTTAATTAATCCACTCGTGCTTGTTGGATATGAGATGACTATAGCCAACACAGCACTATGCGCCTTATTGGCTATCTATCATCTCATATCCAACGCATGCTCTTCGAATAATTGTTAAATAGGTGATGGGGTTTTTTCCCTTGATAACTCTCACAGGATTGAAATTTTTAATTAGCTCAAAGTAATCAACCATGAGGAATATTCTCCAGCTACTACCTTTCCTAATGAAAACCCTGTTTAGGAAGTAAGAGGTCTACTGGGTGTTTCTCCAGTGCAAGTGTTAAGGGTGAATTGTAGAGTGCTGTACTAATTTGTGCAGGATTAGCACCCTCTACAATCAGATAGTTTTGCCTGTCTTTGCAATGTTCTTTTTATTTTGTACAGCTATAAGGTATGCCTTTATGTAAACAATAATATCAGTTGGGCTTTGCTTGTCCATATGAGAGGAAAATATTTTGAATCAGAGAAGCGGAATGGAAACTTAAAACACAACTGTAGACCTGCTAGAAAAAAAAAAAAAAAGGGAATGTCTCTAAGTTCCTTCAGTAAAAAGGAAAGCATTACTGTGTCTAATCCAATCAGTATTTGTTCTGTAATCTTATCAGATTGTTCTTTGCTTTCACTACAGGCTGCCATCCAGCCAATACTAGTTGTCATAGCCGTACTGTGTGTACCTTGGATGCTCTTGGTGAAGCCTTTCTATCTTCGACACCAACACAAAGTGGCTGAAGCACAAGTAAGTCTAAGATTGGTTGCTGTACTGAAGCCATGTGTTTTAGTCAGAAGTACCTTATTTATTCCAGTTTATATGATAGGCTGAGTCATACATGCATTTTGATTGGTTCTTCATGATCTTTTAAAGGAAAGATGTATAAATGACATCACTTGAAACAACATTTTGCATTGTTATAGTGAAAAACAAATGGATTCCATGTTGCTGTAGGTCTATTCAGGGATAGATCACAGCGCACGTTAAAATGTAGTCAGAACAATATTGACACGATTGGCTCCACTCCATGTGCCAATTGTTTGTTCTTACTGTATTCCTACGTCTTATGTGATCTCTTACGGAACAGACACGTGGCAACATAGAATCAATTTTTAATTAGATGCAATTGCTATCTACATTTACAAGTGAGTATAAAAATTAAAATGGAATTCTGATGTTAAAGAACCTACTAGTTACAACACTGTTGTGCCCTTAGGGTTTCCAGAGGCTGAGGTCTAGCAGCCCTCCTCCATCGATGGTGCAGGTTGAAGAGGTAGGAAGGGACTCTGATGTGGTCCATCATGATGGCCAGGCTCAAGCTGAAATGCATGATGATGTTCATGAGGAGGTGAGGCTGCTGTCAGTTAAATCTGGCCTCTGCTCCTGGTGACTTTAAAGACTAAAGTGCTGAAAATGTGTAGAGGGTGGTGGGAAAAGAGGCTTTTTTACTTTAGTATGTAACCATATGTCTGATTCTGAGCATTGTCAGGGTTCTCCCTAAATTTTGGAGTAGGAGGAGAATAAAATGGAGTAGCCGGAGAATAAAATGGAGTAGCCGGCAGCGGAATTTATAATGGTAGGCAAGTGCCTTCCATGCGCCTCTGGTGCAAGGGGAGGATATTAGAGGAGGGAAAAGCTTGGAGAAGTGCATTTTGGTGCATTTTTAAAGATGATTGTGCCACTGATTATAGAACTTTTATTTAACCACATATACATTTATGTATACAGAGTATGTTGTCTTATATATGTAGATTGCTTTTCGTCAGTAACCGCTGCCTCTCAATCTGAGCTTGTTTCGTTTGCTGAACGTTTGAGCAATGTCTGCAGCCAGATTCAAGCATTGGTGTGGTGAAATTCTTGACGAAACTTTCAAGTTTATTCAGTCAAAAACATTTGTGGACACTTGGCTCTCTAAAGAAAACTTTATTTATTTCGGAATATATTTACCCAAGGGGAAGTAGGCGTCGCAAATGGTAAAGTTGCCGTTGGATGCAAAACAAAGTATTTTTATATTATTATTTGGATCTGGGTAGCCGGCATGCCCAAGACGACTAGCCAGTGATTTTCCCCAGTCGCTGGGCTTATGGAGATCTCTGATTGTACTACTTAATAGTTTCAGATTTGAGGCAATACATTGTTTTCAGTGGTTTTTACTCCATTCCTTTTCCATGTTGGCCCCAAAACCATTTTGGCATGGTGGTGAGAGTGCTTACTTTCCACCACTGTAGCCTGGGTGTGATTTCTGAACCTGACATACACGTGGGTTAAGTTTGTTGTTGGTTCTTGTCCTACAAGGGTTTTTTCTCCAGATTCTCAGATTTTCCTCCCTTCATGAAAGCTGACACGCCAAATTCGAATTCAACCTGGAAACAGTGGACAGGAAGAGCCACCTTGTGGAATGTCTGCTGGTTAATTCCCATTATTTCCCATTCCTATTAAAACCCCACATTTTTTGGGGAGTGGTCAATTCTGTAATTGAGTGATGTACTGTTGAACTTCGAGTAAGCCAATTAAAACAGAACTTAGAAAAGCTGTTTTTATAATTCTGTCTTTCTCATCTTTTTTTCTTCCATCTAGTTTGATTTTGGGGAAGTATTTGTACATCAGGCCATTCATACCATTGAATACTGCCTGGGCTGTATCTCAAACACAGCCTCTTATTTGCGACTGTGGGCCCTCAGTTTGGCGCATGCAGGTTAGTGATTGCATTAAGCTTCAATTAAAGTCCTGCAAGTTTTAAGAAAGATTTTGCATTGGAGTCCTGTTGGCTCAAACTTCAAATCTTGAACTCAGTTGTATTTCTAAAGTACCTTCCACCATGTCTCTCTGAAAAATATTGTTGAAATAGTTCCACCGTTGATATCCTAAACCTCTTATATCTTGAGAAGCATTAACTATGCTTAAATCATAGATGTGAATAGTTTTACTGACCACATGTACCTCTCTCTTTTCAGAGCTGTCTGAAGTGTTATGGAACATGGTGTTGCATTTGGCTCTGTCTTTCAAGGGAGGACTAGGAGTGGTTGCTTCCTTTGCTTTGTTTTCGTTTTGGGCGGGTGAGTGTATTTAGTGGTTGTTTGGCAGGGTCTTTGTTGTTCAAATTTAATAATTTTAAAAAGATCCCTATAATAGTAAGTCCTTTGTCAGTTCCCCCAGTGAGTGAGAACTTGAACCATCCACAGTTGACATTGAGTATGGGTGGTTGTCATTAAGTGCTAGCTTCCAGTTAAATTAGCCTTCTGAGAAAGAGCTGATTGCCAGCTGGATTTTGGCCTGTGATTACCTTTTAAGGGCAGCAAACAGTACTGTTTTATTTAAAGTGATGCATGCACATTAGTTTTGTTCACTACTGAAATGCATGTTCCCAAAGAAAAGGCATCAGTGCGACTATAATAAGTGAAGGAATTTAAAAAAATCTTGTTTTGAGGATTTGTTTCCCATGGCCTCTTTTCTTGTCTTGCATTTTCATCTTTACTTTCCTGTGAAGGAGTTGAGAAAAATTGAAACAAAATGATTTAGCCTGATCTCTCATTGTGCTGACTTAGTTTACTCTTCACCAACAGACTATTTCCATAACTACAACCCTGAGTATGTTGCATTAACTGAAGTTTCTGGTGTTAACTGAATATTGTGGGGTTTTTTTTTCTAGTACTCACTGTTGCCATTCTTTTGATTATGGAGGGTCTATCAGCCTTCTTGCATGCTCTACGTCTCCATTGGTAAGTTTCTAACATTATTTCAAGTGAAGCAAAATTTTCAACATGTTTGTTGGCTCAGAGCTTGTCAATCAATCCCAAAACAATAAAGTTGAATGTTAGAGGAGTTTTAGATCTCGGGCTGCCTATTCCCTGTAGTCTCAGGAAAATGTTGATGGAGTATAGTGGGTATACTGTGGTTAATTCTCTCACTGCCGGGATCTCATTAGTAATTCTCCTTACCTTCTGGCATGTACAATTCTTATAATGTGAGTATGGAGAATTTGGTATTAGATCAACTAATATTCCCTAAAAAATGATATTTTTCTTTATTCTCCTAACTTGTCTGCTTGATATTGTATTGATATTGTAAGGAGAAATTCTGTCTTGGTCACTTGTGGGAGTTAAAGGGTTGAGTGGCTCAATGGTGTAGAAGCTCAGTGCAAGACAGTCAAACATACCATCCTTAGAATGTGTGTCACATTCTCTTTGGCACCGATGGATTCAACCAATATCTTTATAAACGTTGTCAACTAGTTTGCATGTGATGTTAGAGTAAATATTAATGTGTTAAGGGCCCAAATTATTGGGTTTTTACTTTGATTGCTTGGCCACCAACTCAAAGTATTTATTTCTACCACCTTACCGACTAGAGTATGTGCTTCTGTACTCTACCTAGATTTCTAATTCCAAGTAAATAAATGTGATGGTTAACACAAGAATGCTAGCTTATCTATACCTCAACTTTTTTTTTGCTACAAAACCAAAGGCATTTTTGCACATAATTCAAGTTCTAGTATTGATCTGTCTGGTTTTTGTCTTTGTAGGGTTGAGTTCCAGAGCAAATTCTATCAAGGAACAGGCTACAAGTTTCAGCCATTTTCTTTCAAGTTAATAATAAGTGGTCAGCTTGAGGAATGATTTGACTGGGCAGCTTTTTGAAGTGTTGTTTTAGAGACAAGTTTAATTTTGGCTTAAAATAATTTTGTAGAAGTTAATCTTGGTAATAATTATCTTCATCAAAATAATCTCGGGATGGTAAAAAAACTGACCTGACTTTACATTTCTTATGGTAGTGAAAATGTGAACTTGAGTGACATTTTTTTTTTTCTCTTTTGGCATCATATCCTGCATGTTCACCTCCCTAATGATCACCAATGATCTTGCAAGGAGGAATTACCTGCTACTCACTTTTTGGGGTTGAAGGGTTAAGTTTTGAAGATGATTGAAAATTGATTTTAGGTGGACTGATTGTTGGTTGATCTGAGAATTGTTTTTGTTAATTGGAAGGAGTGGGGATAAATAAAACCTGTTTTCTATTGCATGGTTGTAGTTAATTTGCTTTCCTGGAATGTTTGTTGTAAGGCTTTGCACACTTGTACATCATCCATCCCTCTCCATGATGAGCTCAAGTAAAAGCCATGATGCACACTATGTTATCAGTAGATAGGGAGGAAAATTTAATAGAAGGCTCTGAAACTGCCACATTGCCAAACAGACTTGTGTGATTCTTTGAGGAGAAAAAAAATGTTTCTAACAATGAACATTTATAAAATAATGGAGATACTATAAGTGGGCCTGATTGGTCAAAACCTATCATTAACTGCATCAGAAAAGCCATAGAAAATTGAAGTTTATTACATAAAAAGCAATAGAATCCTGGGCAGTACTTTCTATTGGTATACCAGCATAATAACCCACTTGGAAGGATTGAACATTGGAAAAGTTCATAAATCACTCACCTCCAGCTCGTGTTTTACTAACTTTTATTTTGTTCTCCCAACATCCTGCATGAGTGGGTTATTACATTGATCAACCAACAGAAGATGCAATGAAGATACAAGTTCAGACAGAGCCTGACCCTTCCTTTAAATCCCAAGATCTGATCGTTAAGTCGTCCCTCTAGCTGCTACACAATTCCTTGTTGATTACTAATGAAAATTTGGTGTTAGATCAAATCATCAACTTTTACCTGATAGGTGTGAGTATTCTCATTCCCTGTTTGCTGAGTAATGAATGGATAGTATGGGGAGAAGTTACATGTTAATCACTTCTGGTAGTGAAAGGGTTAACTCCCTCAGAACTCACTCTATTTACAATGTACTACCACTTTTGACAGTCTTTGTGACATAAGAGTAAGAACATTTCACAAAAAAGTACCATACATTTGAATTACAAGCTTCAACAAATGTCACAATAATAGTGTTAAAATAAATACTGGTGTTTACACTGAATAACTAACAGTTGTCATATCAAAAATAAACTCAGTCAGTATTCCCCTGTTTAGAAAAGTATAAACCCCTATAACCACAAATTTCATTGAACAATCTAATTGTGTCCTAGTTCGTCAACAAAGGGCTGATAAGCTCTAGAAGGGTTTAATTTTTTAAGCATTTCAACCTAATTTTTAAGCATGCACAAAAAATGGCTTCATGGAAACTTATAGTATAACATGAAATTATTACACTGAAAATCAACTCCCTGATTCTTGAAATCTCTAAAACATAAACTTCTTCCAAAGTTCATCATCTGTAAGATTGAAACTTCAAATTTTTACAAGCATTATCACAACCACGAGACTTGCTTTTAAATAAATATACAACATAAATAAGTCAAACATTTTTCAAATGTAAGACTGTCTTTTCATTTTTACACTCACTCTGTATACTAACAGAATAACACTGATAGTGCACTGCTACAATTACTCCACTGAACTTTGGTTCAGTGCCCAAATGGATTGCATGACGAAGCCCCTTCTTCATGGCAAGCTTCTAGTTGTCTACAGCTTTGTCATCAAATTGAGATCTCTGTAATCCAAGAAATTTCAAGGCATTGCCAGCTAAGAGCTTGTCCTGCAATAGAAAAAACACCATGATAAACTGTCAAATCTGGTTTGATAACCGGAAGGCAATATTTGTTTAGCAATTACAATCCATGCAACTTGGACAGATACTCCAACAGTTTATCAAGCCAAACTATCATATTAAGGTGGATATATCCACAAAGTTGAATTGGTAAATTGGCCACCGTAATGATTACAAAAGCTGATGTTTCGAGCGTTAGCCCTTCGTCATTCGCTCCGATGAAGGGCTAACGCTTGAAACATCAGCTATTGTAATCGTTACAGTGGCCAATTTACCATTTCAACTTTGTTGATATAACCAAATTATTTTGTTACTCCCACCGACGCAGCCCCAAACAGTTTCTTTCGAAACTATCAGCCTTTATTCTTTTTATCATAAAAAAAATTATTAAGCATTCTGAAACACAGGAAAAGGCAAATAACATTGACATTCATATCCTAGGGTGCAAACCATGTCTTGACTTCATGCAGTTGGGGATTTATGAACTTGAGATATCATTGAAAGAAAGACTGGTGCACCACTTTGTCCACCTTGCTGGATAGTGAGTGGTTGATCAGACAAATGGAATGAAAACTTCATGTCACTTGTTGTGTGAGCTGATGGCACAAAAGCATCTCAGTGGAGCCCACTAGAAGTGACAAGATGAAAAACTGAGTACCGGAATTGTTCTAATAGTTATTCAATAATTGCTTGACAAAGTGACCTAGACTGAAACAAAACTGACCACCACCCCTTTTATGTGTGAGCATCTGTTTATACTTAAAATTTATTCCTGTTAAGGACCATTAGACCCCAAAATCACACACAGTATGCTTGGGCTACCTGTGTTGTTACATGAGTTGTGCAATTGTCAGGTACAATTTAAAACAACTACCTTGTGCAACATAAGGTGACACTGTAAGTCCCCCTCTCTGTGATTTCTTTGAGGGGAAGGGGGCAGATCAACACAGTTTTGACAGGCTCAAATACACACTTTTCTCTTACCCTTAGTTCTGTGTTATCTTTATAAACTTCTTCAATAAGTTTGCCTGGGTGATGTTCACCAAGAGGGAAAGGGTAGTCACTCCCTAAAAGAACATTCTCCTGAAAAATTTGCAGATAAAGACAATTGAGAACCATAATGATTACTTCAGTGTAGATGCATATCTTCACACACTGAGGCACTTGTAATTTAGTAAAATCTAAAATGCAAAATCAGTGGGGAATCTGAGAAACAAGATTAGTGTAATAAGTTAATTGGATGTGGTTATATATTGGTTCAATTTTTTTTCCCTCCTTATCAACATGTCTTATTCCCTGCTGTTGTTTGGTTTTTGGACCTCCTGAAGGAGAAGTGCAACGAGATCACTCTCCAAAAAAGGTCTAGTAAATTTCTGCTTAACCTTGCAATTTAATTGGATTGGACAAATGTATTGCAAAACAGGTTCATTTCTGTGTGTTACCAGTATAATGTCTTATGATAAAAACATAAAACAAAAGTAAAAATAAAATTAATGTCTCACCTCTCCAATTGTGTCAACTAGAAATTTGAGAGCTTTCTCATCGTGAACAAGACAGTCTGTAAAAATTTGTCCAATGTACTTCCTACAAATACAAGTGAAATGTCTTTGATAGGCCATGTGTGTATTTTTTGCATATTATCATACGTCAAAATCTCAACTCTTAACATCCAAAAGTTTAATGATAAAATTCACAAGAATGCATTCCAAATCTAAAGGAAACTATGATCATATATTTTAAAATAACCGTACTTTCAATTGGTTACTCTTTAAGTTATAAACTCCAAAAAATGGATTGGCATGACAATGTGTCTTTTACAAACTATAGGCACACATCACCCAGGCAGTGAGAACTGATTAGCTTATCAGTTTAATAGACCATGTCTTTCCTGATAAAACACCAAATTACCTCAGTTGATGTATATATGATTTAAAATCATTTTTTTTGGAGAACAGAGATTTAAGCCAGATGTTAAAAAGTTGTGCAAGGAACTTAATTACCTTGGGTTGACTGGGTTCTCAACGGCACAGAGATCAGGTCTGACATTGAAGCCATGTTCAATACGTCCAATGGTGAATGGAAATGCCCCACCTGTAAAAAAAAAAAATAAGTACAAAAATATTTATTCATTTCATGGAAGAGTAACTTCAGGATAAACAAAAGGCAATAGAGATAGTCAAGGTGAGTCCTAGCAGATTTTTAAGCACCCAATTACAAATTACAATGATTGTAACTCTCATTCTTAAATTTTTTACCTAGAGTATATGACTGCAGGCAATTTTTTTGTAATTTTTTTATTGTACTTCATATAATTTTAGCAATGTATAATTTAGTAGTTTCTATGTGTGATCAGTCTAAGACAGTCTATAGTTAGTTTTAACATCAGGGTCCCAGCCCCACTGCTGAATGGGCTAACTTGAACAAATAATGTTTATCACCTAAGTGTGATACCTATACTGTCTACTTTTCAGCAATATTGAAACATTGCGTATGATGCACGATCCTCGCAGTAGATAGCGCTATTTAAGCAATAGCGAAAATCAGACCTGATCACTTTCACGGGTTTATTACGAATCAACTTAACGGCCTGCTCCCAGTTGGCTTGTTAGCTCAATTGGTAGAGCGCTGCACTAGTATCGCAGAGGTCAGTGGTTCGAATCCCGTACAGGCCTGATTTTTTTCAGGTCTGATTTTCGCTATTGCTTAAATAGCGCTATCTACTGCGAGGATCGTGCATCATACGCAATGTTTCAATATTGCTGAAAAGTAGACAGTATAGGTATCACACTTAGGTGATAAACATTATTTGTTCAAGGTAGCCCGTTCAGCAGTGGGGCTGGGACCCTGATGTTAAAACTAACTATAGACTGTCTTAGACTGATCACACATAGAAACTACTAAATTATACATTGCTAAAATTATATGAAGTACAATAAAAAAATTACAAAAAATTTGCATGCAGTCATATACTCTAGGTAAAAAATTTAAGAATGAGAGTTACAATCATTGTAATTTGTAATTGGGTGCTTAAAAATCTGCTAGGACTCACCTTGACTATCTCTATTGCCTTTTGTTTATCCTGAAGTTACTCTTCCATGAAATGAATAAATATTTTTGTACTTATTTTTTTTTTTTACA